ATTTTCCTCTTTGTTTATTCTTCAATTAGTTTGAACTATTTATAATAAATTAGAATTTTTTTTATCTTTTGAAACAGTTTTTATGTTTGACTTATAACATCTTTTTTAATTTTCTACTCAATTCAAATTCAATTTTATCATTATAAAACAATATTTTTATATATTATTTCCTTCATTAACCATTTTCTAACATTTATACGCTATGAAATTGATTTCTATTTAATCGATTAAAATCTTCCATATTGAAATATAGTTTTAACATTTCTCTCACAGAAGTTTTAAGTTTTATCAATTATTTCGTTTCACAACAAATCAATTTCAAAATCGATTACTGTAAATACATTTCTCCCTTACAGCACGTATCCATGCTAGAAAACTGGTTTAACAGTATCGATAATAGTTCAAGCAAGCGAATGGCAAAACTACATAAATCCCTAACTACGTTAACGATTTTTACAAATTCATTCAAGTACCCCCCTCATGAGTTTAATGTACTTCTGTTTATGCTTTGTAGAAATATTGATCGTTGTTTTCGAGAATGCCAGTAGCTGATGAATTCTAAATGACTACGTGGGCGTTTTTGTTTAGCTCATGTTGAAATGTTAAAATAATAGATTTTTCTTCTGTTTGAGAAAGTACGAATTTATGAATGAATCGAGCTAGAAAAAAGAAATTACTAAATTGTGGAGGAGGGCGCGATGGTGTGTTTTTGACATTAACGCCCACACTCTTTTCGGGAGAAGTGTTGCGGATAATTAATTCTTATTGATAGTATGTACAGTTAAAGGAGAAAGAATATTAAAAAATTCCTTGTGATATTTTGTATTTATTTAATGACATTAATAAAATATGATTGCTTAAACTTTCGCATTTATTTTTTAATTCGTAAATATGATTGTTATTTGCTTATTTATGGGTTACTTGCAAGTTTTAAAATACAATTTCCCAAAATGAATTTTTTTTCTCCAAATTTTTTATCATTGTTTTAATTTGTAGTTACTTTATATAAGTTGTATTTATGTTTAAAGTGAGTTTTGGAATATTATTTATGATTATAATTTGTGAATAAGTTATGGTTATTTAAATAAATTAATTTGATCAAAATAATCAAACAAATAACTACTTTGAATTTATTATTCCCAATTCCATAAAGTTATATAGTTATTGAATGTTTTTATCGTTTTGATGAATACGAACAAATTTAATGCTTTTTACTCTAACAAAGTGTTTAATTTATCTAAAACAATGAATAAATTGTTTAATCACCATAACTTTGTTGTTATATTGGAACTTTTTATTAAAAAAGATTTTTTTTAAAAATGTTCCCTTTTCAATATTATTTACTGATAAATATTTTCCAGCCTTTAATCTTTTTCAATTCCTAGGTAATGTTAAAGAGAAATATTAGTTAGTTGTTTTATCTTACGTTGTTTAAAAACTCTTTTTAAATAAATATTTTTAAAAAAACAATTTTTCATCAAACTACTCATAAATTCATTTTTCAGTTAGGAGTCTTTTCCGATTCCTAAGCATCATTTTTAAAAAAATGCTGGTTTATTGTTTGATCTTACTCTGAAAGTTAATTTTATTTATAGAAATCGTTTTAAAAAGGATTTTTTTTTCTAATTATTCTTCCAATATAAATCTTTTTTCAATTTATATGTAATTCAAAGGAGAAAATGGCGTCGATTTTTGTCGTATTTTGTTTTAGTTTTATACATCTGTCACAAAATTAATTAGGTTTTTCTATTTTTATACGTTTAAAAAAGAGGAAACATATTGTGAAATAAATTAATGTAAAGCTTTTATATGTATTACTGAAAAAGAAATTTAAGTTAAAAAAATAATATTTAATTTCACTTTCAATTTTCCACATACTTTTTTTAATTTATTATAATTGCATGAGTTCAAACTATTTTAAACGTTATCTTAAAGTAAAACTACTGAACGACTGATCAGTAATAAATTAATTTCATTGTTTATTTCTATATCGACATTTTAAATTTTTTTTATCTTGCGTGTTTTACGTTTTTTAACGTAAAGTCAACTTATATAACGAAGAAATTCATATAAAATAGTTTTAATTTTCGAATTATTTTTGCTTATTAATGATGATTAGCACATTCGTCAGAAACAAATGTTATTTTCATCAATAATCATCAACCCGAACAGTTAAAGTAATACATTTAGTTAAGGTGTTTCCCTTTCTTTTCGATTTCTATTGTATTCCATTGAAGACTACTTGCTTATGGTCACGATGATTTAAGGTGGGCAACCCTTGGGGTCGCGTGGCCGAAAATAATGGTTGGTGCCCATGCCCTCTGTCGGGAAAGGTGATATCCGGCTTTAGAAAAAGAAAATGGAACGCGTGATTAGCGTGACCTTTGAGTTAGACGAATCTTCACGCTTCATATGACATTTCAGTTGTATTTTTAATCAATTTATTATGAAAAAAAAAAGTTTTTTGTTTAGTCAAAAATGTGTATTAATTTTGAAAATTTTCAGAAATTTAATTATTCTATTTCAATTTTTTATAATATTATATGTGTTTAATTAAATCGTCTGAAATCTGAATAAATGCAAACGCCATATGATATAAACGTCAGAAGATGATTTGGATTTATGTTTTAACCTCCACTTCGTTCACTGTTGAAATTATTTTGTCGAGAATTTTAATTTGGAAGAAAAAAATTTCAAAATTGAATGAAAAACATGCGAAAATAAGAAACATTTATTTGAAGCTGATAAAATAGTTGTACGAAGCATTTCAAGTTAAATAAAATAATATTTAGTAAATTAGTTTAAGCTCAAGTAGACGAAAAAAATAATAATGGAATGCTCTTTTATTTAGCGGGAAAACTGCAGTTTAAATTGTTTACGTTCGTATATTATCTTCATTTCAGTTACTAACAATTTGAGGCAACAAGTGTTTCTAGTCAAAAGGCCGTTCATACAATTCGTTTCAATTGCTAGAAGACACGAGCCAACATTTTTCTCCCTCTTTTTTTTCTTCTATTGACATTTTTGGTCCTTTTTTTTCACCTCATCCCTCCTTCGCCACTTCATATCTCTCGCTCTTTAATTCCAGCTGGAAGGTTGAAACCATTCTTGCTGAGAAAGGGGTGGACAATAATGATTTTTCCATTTCATCTCTCGAACGATTTGCTACGATAAATAAAAATATAAAAACGCAAAATAGTTGCCAAATGAAGCTAATTTTAATAAATATCGTTTTCAAACTACATCTTCAAACGATAAGTTGCGAAACTATTAGAAAAAAAGAAAAATCGTTGCCAGATGGAAACAATTTTATTCAATATCGCTTTCAAACTGCACTTTTTTTTTTTAAATCTCACGTGACTAACTGAAGTGTGATGGGCGTAATTGTTACATTTTAAACATATGCATGCACTCTGTTTTTATTTATTCTTTCTCGACATGAATGTATGCAGAAGCGACAATCTGCTGTAAAGTGGCCTTTCTTTATTCTTTGTCTGTTTGAAGGTTATTCTTCGATGCCCACGCGTGGCAACAGCTTCTTGTATAGATAATGTTGTAGGTGGTATGTTTAACAAGAAATAAATAAAATATTATAGAATAATTTTTTAAACAAATGTATTGTTAAAGCATTGAATTATATCGCGTGATTCAGTTAATATTCTGTTCTAATAATTCTATGTTTTTTTTATTTATTTTTTTTAATCTCTTGAGTTTCTTCTCACTGTGACACAATACTTAATAAATGTCTTCTTAAAAATTTATTAAACAAAACTAATTAGTATTTTTAAAGTTGTACTCTGACAGAAGAGGGTGAAAAATTATGGAATTTGTTTTAGGTTTTTAATTTATTTTCCCGATCTTGTTCGATCATATTATAAATTTTCCAGTTAATCATATTATCTATTCTATTCTTTTTTTAAATTCTGTATTGTTTATATTGCTTTCTTAAGTATTTTAAAATCGAAATTTTACTTTGATTCTTTAGAAAGACTAATTAAAGAATATGTTTTCAATTCCTTAATAATAGTCAAACTAGTTATTTATGATTTAAATAGAGCTTTTTATTTCTTAAACATAACGTTTGAAATAACTAAGAAACAAAACTAAAATTGTGAAGGTATTTAAATAAAATTGCTTGAATTTTTATTTATTTAATAAAATAAAGCTAGCTAAAGAACAGGAAAAAATAATGAGAGTTAATTGTTACAGTTTTGTTAATTAGTAAGAGTATATTGTTTCACTTTCCATTTTATTTAAAACTGTATGCTGCATTGATTTTAATCTTTCAGTTAGGATTATTTTTATGATTTTTATTATTATTGCTTTTTATGATTTCTTTCCTTTTGATTATTCACAACTTTCGTAAATTTAAAGGGCATATTAGGTAATTTTTCACATTTTTTTAAAATTTCGAACAAGCGAAGTTTATTGATTTAAAAATCTCAGTCAACAAAGGTTCCAAGTGACATTTTAGTAATTTTGAATAATTAGCTTATATGTATACAAAAGGAAATATTGATTATACCTTGTATTTATTTTATGTACATGCTTCCAATTATGTAATATTCATTTAAACTGTTCGCGTCGTAGCGTTCGCATTTTTGGCGTTTTTATTTGTTGCTTAAAGGAAGGCTTTCTGAGGTTACAGGCTTGTTGCCAAATAAAATAAAATGAAACCACTCGAATATTTAACCACTGAAATCTCCAAAATCTAAAAACTTTGCAAAATAAATAAATGTTTTATATCTAAATAAGATACTTCACTGATAAATCTTTTTAAAAATGTCACTTAGAATCTTCATCCACTAAGCTCTCCAATTGCATTTTTCTATTGAAAACTAGAATATAATAATTGATAAAAAATAGTATTCAAGTAGTTTTTCTATCTTTTACATATAATTCATAAATAACTTTGACCTTTAAATGTTATATCACTTGCATAACATGCTGTTTTTTCTGACCTCTGACCTTTAAAATTGGCGATTCGGTTATTATTTTAGACATGTTTGACACCGATTCGTGCCAAAGCCTACGAAGCTGTGATGCCCTGCTCGAGTCATATAGAATGATCTGGAACACTGGTGTGTATAAATGAATATATATATTAGAACATTATTCGAACAATTCTCTTCCTTTTTTACCCTTCATTCTTACCTTCACTTTTTTTCTTTTTGGTATCTCTCTGGGCTTTTTTATAAAATTCTGCATGTTCTTCACACATTTTACCTTTCATACCAATAATTTTCAAACTAACATATTTATTTATTTATTTATACTAGTTTTATTTTTTCTTAAAAATAAATCGTCATATTTTTAATTTATTTCTATTCCTCACATTGATTGTTTGCACAACGATAAGTTTTTTTTAAAAATAAATCGTCATATTTTTAATTCATTTCTATTCCTCACATTGATTGTTTGCACAACGATAAGTTTTTTTAAAAAATAAATCGTCATATTTTTAATTCATTTCTATTCCTCGCATTGATTGTTTGCACAACCATAAGTTTTTTTTAAAAATAAATCGTCATATTTTTAAATCATTTCTTTTCCTCGCATTGATCGTTTGCACAAGTTTTTTTTAAAAAACTAGAACGAATATTGAGTATAAATATCCATAATTATAATTGTGAATGCTTTTACTTTAAATATATTAATTTTATTTTATCCTTTATTTTTTTCATTAAAAAAATATTAATAAATAGTGAAATAATTTATTTTATGAAATTGCAAACGATAATTTTTTATTCAGTTTGTTTGTCAAACGATTGATTTTAAACATCAATGTGTTGTAATATCTTAGTTAAAAGTTCAATATAATTCGTAATGTAAATTTAAGTAATCGTTATCCAGTTTATTAATGTACTTTCGCTAAATTTTAAATACTTGCGTTTGGTAGTCTTATTATAATTTTATTAAAATATTTCATTATTTTACTATAAATGTATTTTTATTGAACGTAAAATTTAATCTTATAGAAATGAATTCTTGAATATGGAAATAATGTTTCAAAATACTATGAAAACCCGATAGTTTGACTTTTTCACTCATAGTTCTTATAAAAAAATTTAACATAGTTTTATTGTTGATCTAAAACATAAGGATATCATTCAGCATGTCAACACAGGATTCATTCAAAATTTCTACCAACTATTAATAGATATAAACCGATCATTGAATTATTGATATTTTTTAATTAAAAAAATTCAGTCAATAGTTCATTAAAAAATAATCATCGCCATTACTGGATATAAAATGTATAAGAAATAAGCTGAAAAATATATCTCATCGTTGTATCTTTTTCGTTTGTCAATAGAAGTATCTCAGTGTAACAGATGCAAAAATAGCAAATACGTTCGAATTTTTAGTTGATATTTTTGTGGTTCGAAATAACGGATCTCGACGAATCATCTTTCAAAAACAATCTTGACATTTACCTTTGCTCCAGTTGAACAAGCAGTGCTGTACATACATTGACCTTTCAAAGCTACAGTGGACGAATTTATATTTTGCAGTGTCACGTTTCAAATGAAAACGATCGGCGGATTATTTTTAACAAAATGTTAACTGGCAACAAGATTTTTGTTCAACATTTTGTATCTTTGGAACTTTTATAATTAGATTAGATTTTAATTTAGAGAAGTCCGAAAAGTTAAAAATGGCGAACACCTGCTGATATTGTTTATTCTCGTACAACGAATTAATTCTTTTTTGTTTATAAATTAATAAAAAAAAAGTGATAGGTTTCTTCGAATGTTTATTGAGCTAACTTGAATATCGTTTTTTCGCGAAATAATGTTTAAGTAATTAGTTCGTAATGTCGTTCGTTAACTAAGGTGTTTTGAATGTTAGTTATTATTAACTTTTAGTAGTCAAGATTTTTATTCTCTAAATTGACATTTAAATCTAAGTTTTTGAGCTTTAATCTGGATTATTTTGGATTACATTATAAACATTGGTGAGTCTTTTAAAATTTTTACTTCTCACCTAAAGAACGACAGATATTTAGTTTTTAGAGGCAATTTTCACTGTTTTCGAATTGAATTTATTTTCTGTTTACATTAAATTGTACAAAATTTAAATAAAGTAGATTTCAATTTTAAAGAATGATAGCAGTTAACATTTTCCCCTCTAATTCATAAAAATGCCAACTCATATTTTTCTAATAAATTTTTTGGTTAAAGATCTATGAAAGCTAGTTTTTAAAAAATGGAAGTATTTGCCATAAATGATTTTTAAAAAGTAGTTTTAGATTAGTGGTTCGTAAATTGTGCAAAATTGTACGAGTTGTTTAAATAAATTATTGTTTATGCTTCACAACTTTCAGTATGAGAATAAATATAAAAAAACTGACTGCTTTTAAAAAGTTCTAAATCTTAAAGTTTTCTTTTAAAATATATAAATCGAAAACATTAAGCAACAAGCTCTATTTGCCAAGTGAAGATAGGTTATATTTATTTTAAACCGCTTAGCAATCATCTTGATGAAATGTGGTTAAAATGCGGAAAACCGCGAATAGATATGTTTAACAGACAGCATGGTCCCACTCTGTATTTCCTGTTCTTTTTATATTATTATTTTTTTTTATTTATCTCTTCGTTTATTTATATGTCAGATGGGCTCTTGATAGCACCACTCCAGACAACTGCCCTTTAATGATACGCCCGCTACAACATCCAAGATACCGATAAAAAAAAATTTATAAGAATTGTTTTTTTATTATATCATTTTATTTATTTGCGCTTTTTTTTCTTCCTCTTTATCAGTCATCTTCCCACGAATAAGGTGATCTCACCGCGTTCAATTCATTGTGTTTGTTTACTTATTCATTCACTCCTTCCCCTTCCCCCAGATATTCCTTACTCTTTTTTTCTCTCAACCCGTTCCTTATTTGACGAACCAACCGTAAAAAAAGGACTTGGTAAAAAAAAAAATGAACAGGACGAACAAAAAAGGAAGACATTTAAAGTTTAGGAAAGAGGTGTGGCCTACGCACTTTGTTGACCAATCACGCGCTAGCCTCGAGTTCAGGTTTTATACCCCGAAAAGACGGGTTCCGTCTCTCCTTCTGATACCTGTTGTCACACGTGCTTTCTTCCTCTGAGGAGGATGTTGTAGAGCATCCCTCTTGGATGGTGAAGAAAGAACAAAACCTGTTGCTGTTTTTCATCCAGACCTTGCAGCGAGTATTGTCCCGGCGTTACGTCAATAAGTGGACTCAGCAGCGAGCATATTCGTGTGGATTACGTGATTTATTAGTGTTTTAAATATAATCGTTTGCATTATAGAGTGGTAAATTATAAACATTATTTTTGAGTGATGCCATTCTGTAAAGAAAGAAGATTCCAAACTGTTCGGTTTTTTTTAGTTTCACAAACGTATTAGCAGACGACTATTTTCACGGTTTATTTTTGTGTCTGAAATATTTTTTAAAATTTATTCATCACGGGATTAATGAGATATCCATGTTCAAGCTCGTGAATTTCCATCTTAAGACTGAACTTATTTAGTGTGTATGAATCAGTAAGTCGTCAATAATTCCATTCGTGAATTTTCATTCAAGACTAAGCTCGATTACTACGCATGGATCGATAGTCATCAATAATTCCATTTGTGTATTTCCATCGAAGACGTAAAATATATATATTACAAAATATTACCATATTCATCATTGCCAAGAACTGAGTAAACTAATTCTTAAGCAAGAACGTGTGAACACTGGACCAACACCGGGGACCCCGTACCGGTGCCCCAACTTATCCATGGGTCCCAGTTGAGGGTCCTAATCATAGAAGAACCACTATGCCCATGGCTCAGGTGGATAACTGTTGCAGACGATTTTCACCGTGTCAAAGTCCGATTCACCCTCCTAGCCATGGTGGTTACAGCCCATGGTGGACTGCACCTGTGCCTCGAAGGGTACCCGTTGTACCACAAGATGCACATTATTATCGGAGAGGTAGGAGTAATCATTATGTGAATCGGTACAATGGTAAGTTTTAAATTGCTTTTTTTTTTCAATTCGTTTAACAAATACAAAAAAAAAGCTTAATACAACGTGCTTAGAATTACTTTCTTAAATGCACATCCAAGTTTTCATTTCCGACATCTGTTGGGACTTACAAAGGAAATGTATTGAAAAATGAACGTTAAAAGAATAACTATTTATTATATTCTTCTTCGCTTTGTCTTGATCACTTTCTTCTTTATCTTCACTTTTTTTCCTTTTTCTCATTTTTACACCTCACTTTTTTCTAATTCTTCCATTTATGTATTTTTTCATGACTTATATTTATTTAATTTTTTATCAATTCATAAAGTCCTAAATTAGATTATTTTAATAATGAAAGTCGTAGCTTTTAATTGATCAATAATCGCATACTGTCTCACAATCTTTCAACCTATGTGTATTTTTCCATTTATAGAATTATCCGACTGTATCCCACTGTATCCGAATTCCATAAATGTTAGAACTTTCTTTCTCACAAAATCATTAAAATATTTAAATAAAATTTATTTTTTCGTTACACATTTCGTTGAGAAAATATGTTTTTAAATTTATGGAGCTAAAATTGTTTCAAATTTACCTTATTTAGGCTTCTTGTACCTAAATTTTAATTCTTTTAAGATGTACCCATACTTGAAAACGTAGATGTAGCAACTTTAAGAATAGGAAACAATGCGTTAAAATTAATTTTCAAATTGTACGCAATTTACAAACTGTTTTTCCAGTTACTTGTAACCAAAAATGTTTAATTCATCAAAATAAGTAACTTGAAATTAAGAAGTAGGAGACGATTACGAAAATACACTCTTTATAAAATCGCTTGCGAAAGAATCCTAAAGTTCTTTTTTTAACAGGTACAAAGATGTGAATTATATAATATTTTTGTTTATTTAATAATTTGTATCGACTTGTAGACACATGCAGCAATTTTTTTTAAATATTTTATGCAATTTTCGGTTAAATTTACATTTGAAACTTGGATACCAATATAAAAATAACGTTTTACCTCTGTAAAAAAAATAATAAACGCGTTTTTAGTTAAACCAATACTAACCACATAAACATGAATTTTATGTTTTCTATATAAATATACTATATAGTTCGTGATCGGTGTTTGTATGAAGCAAGACTAGTAATAATAATAATAAAAACTGACGCGATTTTTACGGCAAATAGTCTGTTATTCGTATTTTAAGATACTGATTGAAAACTTCTTTCGCTTCAAAAATAAACAAATTGGAAATAACAGTCGAACATGTTTTAGGCAATCAAAAACAGATGCGCACTTTCAAACTTGATTAAGAAGAAAAAAAGTAATTTGCAATATAAAACGCAAAGTTGTGAACAAAAAATGGAAAAATAAAGTTGAGAAACCAAAATAGTCGTAGTAACCGAGGGAGAAAAAAGATGAAAAACTACAGTTGTCGAGAGGGGCAAATTAGGCTAAAAGGCATTTCCACGCGCGATGGAGTTAATGTAATGCTAATATTAACTTTTCTGCCCATTTTAAAACGTGTTTTTTTTCCCATTTTGTAATCTTAAAAAGAAAACGCGAATCACGATATAATTAGCTTTTTTTCTTCTTGTTATAGAAAATATTTATTCACATAAAAATTTGTTTTTAAAATGACTTTTTATCCGCGTGAAAATTGTTGTACATTTATCATATTTTATGTCACGAAATATACAAGTTTCGTCATTCCACATGTTGCAGTTTTCCTGTTAAAATATATATTCACATATACGAGGCTATTTCTAAAAATAACTTTTTATCAATGAGAAAATATGTTTTGTATTTCGCTACGTAATTCAGAAGAAAAAAAAACTTGAGGTATGAAAAAATTAAATTATTTTTCGTCCCTTAACCGCAACTTGTCCCACCTGTTGATTTGACTACTGCTAGAAGCGCCCTCCATCTGAATCCGGAATCACCCTCTTCCCACAACCATCCCAAATACTCCCACGCTTCCATCCACAGCAGTAGCAGCGTGGGAGTCATCCCCAACAACCGGGACTACCCCAGCCAGCCTGCCGCCGAATGGGTTATCCACGCGCGAAGGCGTTTTTGGATGCTACCTACCCCACACAAAATTGGGGGATGAGAGTTACACGCTTCTCGATGAAATCCAGAAAATGTGGATCTCTCCACCAATTGTCACCACGGTGATGGTGATTTTTCGTGGCACTACGGTCCGGTTGTTAAAAATGTGGGTGCTTTTTCAACGATCGAAATTGGTATCGCCGTTTTAGCATCCAACCTGTTGATATTTGAAAACGATTTAATTTTAATATTTGAAAACGATTTAATTTCGCTGCGTTGTTTTTTGTTCGATTGGTGTTCATGACCACCACCAAAGATGAAGAATTTACCACAGTACCTGATAACATTTTTGATGATCTGGTAGTACCAGGTGAGTGGCTGCGATATGTTTGGTACATTTGCAAAGGTTTGGTACAGGGTTTTTGGTGCATTTCTTTTTGGTGCGTTGGGTATTTATGAAATATTTCCATTCATGTTTTTTATTTTATTTATTTATTTGTTTGTTTGCTAGATTTGCGAGGGCGTATGTATCGAAGTTTAGTTCAGTGACCTTTAGAATTTCGAGCAAGTTAGGGTTAATTTAATCGATATTTCACAGTGACCGGACGATAGTTTTTAAAAATATCTATCGCTTAACATAAAGGTCATTAAATAAATAGTAAGATTTTCGAAAATAGGACAAAAAATTTTTATACTGAATTCTTTTGTTGTTTAAAGAATAAATTGTAGTTGTTTTTGTTTTTCAAATAATTGCGATCGGTGTACATATTGAATACATTGTATTGCTAAAAAAATAACTTTGCAATACAATTTGAGCCGATTCAGTATCGTAATTTTCAAATTTTGTATAATAATTTTGTACTTAGTTAATAAATCTAATTATAATTACATATTTCTTGAAAAATTATTATAATAATATCAGTAATTATTTAGGATTTTCTTTTATTAGTATTTTTAAAATAAAATAACTTTAATATTGCATACATTGTCTAAAAAATAAAAATTAAATAATTATCATACTAAAATAAGTTTATACAATTAATACATACTAAAAGCAAAATAATTTTTACCATATAACAAATTTGCTTAAAAATGAAAATCAGTCAACATATATTGTGTAACCGTAGAGTTTTAATAGACCCTTTTATCGAATTATTTTCTGTCTAAATAAAAGTAACAATATATCAGGAATTACCTTATTTATTAAAAACACTCTCAGAACAACATTACGTATATGGCGGTTAAATGAAATAGAGATATTTTGGCATTAATCTTACCTAATTTCATTACAAAATTTGGTTCTGTTTGATAGAATTACTTCTTATAAGTAAAACTTATGTTTAATTATATTTTCAAACATTTTCAGTTACTTCATTAAAAAGTTAACATTATTATTATTATTATTTTAATATTATATATAACTACATGTGAAATTTTCGCACTGTAATAAAAGTTTACCTCGTTAATCTTACTTCTTGTATTTCTGTACGCATAATATTTAATTCTGAAAATTATTATAGCTAACTACGAGTATCAAACTTGTTACTCAAAAAAAAAAGAAATATAAAAAAAAATGTTTTAATTCTGATTTGAAATTTATTATGAAATAATTCTATGAAACCTATGAAATAATCTGATACTTATCATTTCCAAATATATTGTATCGAACTATGAATGCCAGTAAATTTAATGCTCTCATATTTTTACTAACTCTTCAAACAAAAGTAATTTTCAGTTAAGGGTTTAGCTTTAGTTATTTTAAAAAACAATGTAGGTATTTTTAACATTGTAATTTTTATTCTATTATGGATGAAAAACTATCACATAGTTTCTATATTTATTCTCGCCGTATTAATAGAAAATTTAACAAGGTTAAATTTTTTAATGCATATTAATTATATTTTTACGTGTATCGTATTTATTTTATCATATTTTTTTAATGTATTTTTTTAGAGTATGTACCCACTCTCAAAACTACATGGTTAAGTAAGTCTGAGCTCTATCAAACTCATGCAGTACTTACCTTTTCAGTTTTCATCATAACTGAGTTTTCGAAATTAGTATTTATTAAAATAAAAGCAATAGTTTCCTTATATTATATAGCATATTCTTATTATCTGTTCTTTTAATTCAGGTTATTTATAAGAAATATGTCAGTTTTCATTTTCTATAAATGAAACCACTCTCAAAACTACATGGTTAAGCAAATTTGAGCTCTATCAAATTCATGTAGTACTTAACTTTTCAGATTTCATCACAACTGAGTTTTTGAAATTAATATTTATTAAAATAAAAGCAGTAGTCTCCTTTTATTATATAACATATTCTTATTATCTATTCTTTTAATTCAGGTTATTTATGAGAAATATGTCTTATTTCACTATCTAAAAACGAAACCACTCTCAAAACTACACGGTTAAGCAAGTTTGAGCTCTATCAAATTCAAGTAGTACTTAACTTTTCAGATTTCATAACAACTGAGACGTAAAACAAAACTTTTTTGTATAAATTTTTTTTCTCACAACAATGGATATTATGTCCAGTTCAAGTTAGCACATTTCTCATAGGAAACAAAAATACAGTTTCTCATACTTAAATATATTTTTAATTTAATCTTTAATTTTAAATAGGGATCATGTCTTATGCGTCTCCTTTAAATCTAAGCGATCAGTGTTATAAACGTTTTTGTTCAGTGTTCAAATTAGATTTTTGAATGAATCTTAACAAATGACATATCGGTTTACATATGTTTTTACATATGAGAAAATAACTGCATAAAACTTACTTTTATGTACATCTCGGCTCCTATACGAATTAGTTTCTATGTCATTATTAAATTGAAATAATATTTAGAACAGATAAGTCAAGATCTTAAACCATAAACAAATAAATTTGTAATTACAGTTTCTTTTGAATCTTTTAATGGATCACTGAGAAAAAAGAATGGTTAAAACTACCAAAATATGGTGAAATTTACCGTATTTCTAGCACTATAGGAGCACCAGAAAGCTCAGTAATTTTTAATGAAACGTTTTGGTAATGATTTTGATAAAATTAACTATAAAATATGGTTTAATAATATAAAATTTAGTAAATTTGGTGATTTTATCATGATACCTTTAGATTATGGCATAAAAACCATTTATTTTTTTAAGTTTACTTCTCAATTTTGTATTTTTTGCAAAATGTGAGGTAATAAGAATTATAGCTTTGAAAACCAGGATTTCCGGTGAACTGTTACCATACAAACGAAAAAATTACCAAATGAATGGTATAAATATTGTATGTGTTAGTTTTATTAACCAGAATTATGTTGTTTTTTTATACCAAAAATGTCAATTCCATATTCATCAATTTCTTTTCTCCGTGCACAACCGTTGTCTTTCTGGGTATAAAATATAAAACCTCGAAGAGTGTAAAGTATATGTATTCTAATAGTTATAGTCGTATCACATGTGTTCTGTGTGTTCTATTATATAACAGTCATTAGGAAAAGTATTATTTAAAATTATGCTGAATTTATCTTTGAAAGACTGATAGTTATTTTTTCTTTCTGCAGCTGAAGCTTCTGATCCTCTAAATGACAGGACAGAATGTGTGGCAACTATGTTCCCCGGAAGTCACGGCGGCTCACCCCGCTTCACCTACCGGGGCAGCTTCACCACATCTACCACCCCAGTCACATCGGCTTGCTCATCGTCGGCGTCTGGACTATCTCCATCTGACTGGCTCCACAGTCCAACATCTTCAGATAATCTCACACCCCTCATTAACATCATGGGTGGAACGTCCACCCCGACAGCCACACCGACACCTCCACCTTCCTCAGTCACACCTCCTCACCATCATCACCAACAGCAAGCTGAACAGTCATACGGTGACCGAAGTCACCAGGATCAGCAACAGTCTTTTCTATCCAGTCCTTCATCACACCAACAAGAGCTTCTGGAGTTCGCAGTCTCGCAGCAACAGTTCGATCCCGTGTCGTTCACGCTGAAGCAACAGTCACCATCTTACTCCACGTCTTCTTCTACCCCCACTGCAACAGATCTAATCGGAGTGTCTCCCGATGACATTGTTTACTCAACGTCCTCACCTTCTACGTCGTCAACCCATGTCGATAAATATCTGTGGACAACGTCTGCTGACTTTACCACAACTACCCTGCAGTTGGCTCCAGGTTCCATCCTGGTGCCCAAGATGGAACCCTTGGCTGAAGAAGCTGCCACAGCAACGTGTGCATCAGCAGGAAATACTGGTATGCTACTGACTAGTCCACAGACATCTGCTTCCCTGGCTGAATATAATCAGAGCACTAGTAAAGTAAGGCTCACTTTGTAACCCATAATTCTTGTCTTTGTTGCTTATTAATTGATTTGATTTATAGTTGTCAATCAATTCAAACCATTTTTGAAACACATCCTAAATGATAACATAAATAATGTGATTTATGATTTCCTTAAAATTATAGGTTTTAGATTTTTGAAACCATAATTTATCATCATATATCAATCTAAAGAAGCAAGTCCGTGTAAAAAAAAATATATTTTTAAGAATAAACAAGATAATTTTTTCTAAGCCTTCGTTATATAATAAGTCTGTTTTTTTTAATTTTAATACAATGTAATGTTTTTAATGATGATATTGATTCGACAGTTTATCGCCCTAGTCCCATCAATTATTTTATTGCGTTTTGCAACTTCAAGCTTCAAATTGCAATATATTTTTTTTTTAGTGTTCTCTGTCTTGATTCAAAATAGGCAATGGAGATATTTAACTCTTTTACATAGTATATCGCACGTTCACGTATAAATGTTCTGCGCATGCTCTATAAAGAACTGAGATTGTTCTCTAGTAACAGAGCTACGTAAAAGTGTAAATCTCTCTGTTAGAGAGATTTTGTACTCTCGCGTAGCATGCCCCGTACCCTCATTTACCTAAATTCAGTGCGGCTACTAATAAGCAACCTTGATTGTTCATAGAGCTTGCGTACTTAAACGTGCGGTATGCTACTAAAACAACAGAAAAATTGCTTTCAAAAAGTATTTATGGTGCTGAGGAAAAAACTTATATAATTGTTTCTATTTTAGGGTCATGAAATTCTTAGTCAAGCCTATCAGTGCAGTACTGTTCCCTTGAAGCTGTTACCGGTGAAACCTCGAAAATACCCCAACCGTCCCTCCAAGACGCCCCTGCATGAGCGTCCATACGCCTGCCCCATCGATAGTTGCGACCGAAGGTTCTCGCGGAGTGATGAACTCACCCGACATATACGAATACACACAGGACAAAAACCATTTCAGTGTAAAATCTGCATGCGGTCATTCAGTCGGTCAGACCATCTCACCACGCACATACGCACCCATACTGGCGAGAAACCATTCACTTGTGAGACCTGCGGTCGCAAGTTCGCCCGGAGCGATGAAAAGAAAAGACACGCTAAGGTGCATTTGAAACAGAGGTCAAAGCGTCAGCAACAGCAGCAATCGTCGTCCACAACGTCGGCATCGACGTCCACGACGACGCTTTCCTCCACTGTGTCCTCTCTGCAACAGCAGGAGCAACATCAGGGTGGTTTGTTATTGCTTGACATTCCGTCGTCTTCAGTTGCCACTAGTCTACTCACTGGACAGCTTACAGCTCCAGTTGTGACCACAACTGCAGCACTCAGATGATTGTGATGACTGTTCTTTTATAGGGAGAGTTGACCTCCCGGTTGTCGTCATTTCGAACCAAGCTCAACCTCCTTTTTTTCCTCTAAAAGAGACTTCAAAGTCTTTGTGATATCTTAACTGCACTTAATGTCTTGTACCATCGCCCATATTTTAATAGCTCTCTCTATCTCTCTCTCTCTATTTTTCTCCTCGTGAATTTTATTATAAGAATAGTCAACGAATCTTTTAGTTTATAACAATACCCTTGATTGACGATATTAAATTTTCTAATCTCTCTATATATGTCAAAAACATTCAAATGAAACGTAATTACTGTATAAATTTTTTTTTATCTAGTCTATATCCTTGCATTTCAGCAAAAATTCTAATTCCTTGTATGAAACTAAGTTTCTTTAAAAAAAATTACATTACAGAATATAATTAAGTTGTTGCATATATTTTGCCTATAGTACGTTCACGGAAATGATAGACCTAAAGTAAGCAAATAAGTTGCCAAAATCTTGATCATATTTGCCACTTTTTGAGATTTTCTCAGCATTTTTTATTTTTACAGAATTGTGCTAAAAATAAATTACAGAGGGGTATAATTTTTGTTATAAATGCATGATTGATTCAGAATACAATTAAACTACATTTATAATTAACTAAATAAAAGTTAACTAAAGCACTATAAAATAAAATAAAAATTGAATTAAAGCACTTAAATTTAATTATATACTCTTAAACGTTTCAGTTATATTTATGTGATTTAATGGTCTTATTATAAACAAAAACTATCAATTTATATGCAACAACATGATTATTTTTAGAGAAAAATTTTAAGATTAAAAAAAGCTGATTATTTTGTTATTTTTTCTTTTTAATAACGTTAAATTTTCTATGAATGTTATTTCCTTAAAATAAACATTTGATTACAATGATTATAAAAATATTTCATTTTAAATTTTATTATTATTAAGCAGCTAATATCATAACCCATTTATTATTTTTTTGTTCTATTGCATTCAACCATATTTCTATGACTCTGCAATGCAATCTTATTGCAGATGAATAATATATTCGAAAAAACAAATTTTTCTTATTGTTTTAACTTCAACAAAAGTAACGCTGGTCGTTTAAACATGCTTGAAAGCTTATTCAATATGAATCTATTTGTATACATTGCGCTTTTTAATTGCAATAAAAAGATATTTATTTACTATTTGAACTGCATTGAGTGCAATAATTTTTAGGTTGTCATCCCAATGATTTTTTTTTTTCGTTTATGATTTTCAAAAAACTTTTACTTTTGTATATAGCTATTTATGTATATTGAAATACATTAAGTTTGTTTTTACACATTTTTAAAACATTTTTCTAACAAGTTTACGAATTAATACCTGTGCCAAGGCTATATAATTTTTGAGCATTTTATATTTCTAGGTTTTATAATCTAGTATAGCTTCTTAAGGCAGCTTTTGCATTTATTTTAACAACTTTATTTTCTTTGGACTTTCATCTCATGTGCAATCTAAAATTACAAAATGTAACAATGTATTATTAATTCTATTATGACCATAGATATTTCTAAGAGAAAAATATTAAGCCATGAAAATTCAATATTCTATACATTTTAAGACCTGTATTGTATTTTAAAACTAATTATTACAGTATCATATTTGCAAACAAAGTATTGAACTATTTTATTTTCAGCTTATTTCTTATTTTTATTTATAAAATGAAACAACGTTTTATCTGTTTTATTCTGCCTAAATTTGTTTTTAAATAGAAAAAAAATTTTGAGCCATAAAAACTCACCTTTCTATAAATTTTAATATTTTGTAATTAAAAATCTATTATATAAGAAGTATTGATCTATTTCATTTTAACATTATTTCTTATTTTTATCCCAAATGTGTTTTAGGATAAAAAATAAGTAATAAAAATCTTATTTTTATCCTTGCTAATAGTATTATGTGTTTTAGGATTAATTATTACAGTATCATATTTATATAAATTAAATTACCTTAAATTTATTTATTGCTTATCAAATATTGTGTAAAAGTATATATAATTACTAATCAAAATCTAATTTTCTATCAACTCTAAAAGCTGTTCTGCATTTTAAGATAATTTTTTACACTATAATTAGGAGGTACTACAGTAAAACGTTATAAAAATGTATAAAATATATATAATCTAATTATTACTTGCTGAAATAACTTGTTTAATTTTTTGTTTTGTTTTGTATTACTGTTATCTATTTTAAAGATTTATATAACACTGTAGACACGAAATTAGTAAAAATGTTATGAGTTATAATTCAGAATTTTTATCACATCTGTTAATCATATTTATAAGCCTTGATATTCTGTTTTTATCTATCAGGCGTTTAGTTTTAAAACCAGTTCTATCTATTACTTATTTTTTTATAATGAATGCGTATTCGTTCGATTCTCCTATTCTGTAGAATTCTAAGTAATTATTATTTTTTCTTCTTCACTGAAGAGTTTTTTAATTCATAAATAAAAAATAATTTTATTATGGACTTTGAAAAATATCTTAAAACCTATTGAGCTGGTTTTAAAAGCACACGCCACAATTAATTTTTATTCTGTTTAAAATCAGATAATTTGTCACTTACTATTTAAATTAAGTCTGTTAATGCTACTTACTATGACAACATTGTATTTTGGAGTTGTATATCTTAATTAAGGCTTCTTAAACTACCAGTAAATTATCTTCTTTGGGGTCGCACTATCAAATTTATTTGTCGCTAAAAATATCTATCATAACTTAACTTCTATGATATCTATCATTGATATATACAATTAGGAGGCACATTCAACCGTTAAAGTCTTTGATATACTTCACTGGTTTATTAAAATTGTATATTTGGCTTATAACTATTACAAAAATGATTTATTGAAAAAAAAGTTTAAGAAGCTGTGATTTGATTTATATATTTAAACTAAAGAGCTTAGTGGGAAAACATGTTAAGTTAAATTTTTATATGTCTTAAAGCATCTAATTATCAATTGTATCATAGTTAAAAAGTGTTTTAACTGCGTAATACTAATTTAATTTGCAAAATCTTTCATTTATCTCATTATTTTTTTAGAAAAACTTCTTTTTTATATTGCATACAATCTAAAGCTGAGTTTAACAAATGTACTAAATTGTCATACAAATCCCACTAAGCCTTTCAATTTTATAATTACCTTACTTTTCTTTAAAACAAATATTTCGTCTTATATTGTTGTAGACACCATAGTTATTAAATATAATTGAAAGAATTTGGGCTATATAATCCTCATTTTTTAAGCATTATTTACAGATAGATATTTTGCAAGTGCATCTTCTTGCCATTAGAGGGCAGCATAATACACAAAAACATCTTATTGTCTATATAGATATTGTGGTTTTTTTCCCCACCAAAACAGCTATAGTAAACAATTTACACACAATGCACAAAAGCATCTTATTGTCTGCACTCAAATTGTGCAATTTTCACAAGAATGTGAATAATTTGTAAAATATGGCTTATCATTATATTGCCCAAGCCATTCAATTTATTAAAAATAGAAGAATAAATTAGTCTTATGCTGTAAAAATAATAATAACAATGGAATATCAGGTGATTTAATTAATTACATTGCCCCTTTCAAGTTTACATCCCTTAAAAATTAAGAAATTATTTTAAGCTAAATATCATAACTCAATAATATATTTTTATTCAGGTGTTCTGCTATCTAAACGCCTTAAGATAGCTTTGATATTTTACGGCGTCAACGCAACCATATTTTTGTATTCTTTTTATGAGAAATCGAACGCCGGTAAAAACGACTATTATTTTTCTCTACATCATTATTTCAAAGAAATTAGTGCACTAACGAATAATAGTTAATAAATAGTTTTCTCGCAAGAGATCGCCAACGTAATTGTTTTGGCTCTTTAATGCTAAAGTTACATGAATGCACATTTCACACTATTTTATATATAAAAAAATTTTCTAACCAATTTGATAATTTGGTTAACAATGCTCATTTCATATTATAAGTAAATATTGTAAAACAATAAACTATTACAAAAATATGTATGTTTATAATCTAACCATTATAATTCATTTAAATTCTATTGTCTCAAAATATAATCGTTTAAAAAATATACATTTTATGATACAATTAGATTTTTTTTTCTTTTAATTTTTGAAATTAAGTTCCTTATTTAAAAACGTTACAACTTTTGAACTTTGAGTAAAAACAAAATTTTTCAGAGTCCGCGAAAAGCTCTCTATTTTCTATGTAATTTTAGTATTTTTTTAATGTTATATATAAAAATGAAACTATTAATCAAAACTTTATTTTCTCTTGTTAACCATTGTTTCTTATGACAAATATTTTAACTATTATAACTGTTATGTAGTTAATTAAAATCGTCTTGTATGTAGATATTATAATTATTTATTCGTTAAAAAAAATTTGTAACAATCAAAAATTATAATTGTTGCCGAACTGCATTTGTAACGGACAGAGATTAAACAATTTCGTCATAATTAACAATGAAATCTGGTTAATCAAATTGATATAACTTCAATTAGGTAAAAGTCGTATTTATAATTTTAAAAAAAATTTATATTGCATTAGAAAAAAAAATTATTACGATATTAAATTTGGAAAAAAACTTTAACGGATAAAACTTACATATAATCCAAATGCTGTTATAGTAATGAATGAAAAACTTAGTTTCAAAACCAGCTCAATCAAATAAAAAAATATAAAAATTTTAAAAAAATGTATACTTTATATTGAAAAAAATTATATACTTTAAATTCTAATATAATAGAATGAAAACTTTTAGATAGTGTGAAATCTACATACATGAACGTTCATGAACTATATTAGATATATAAAAGTAAAATCATATCAAACGTTGGTGCTCAGCTTGCATATTGTTCATAATTTCAATTTTCATCGCATGATCATGTCTAACAAATGCATAAGCGCATATATATTTGCTCCTTCAGAATCATTGTATATAAATCACCATTTTCAACTAACAAGGTGTTTATTATTTTTATTTGACCGAAAACAAAATGTTTGTAACAAATCTTGTTTTATGTATATTCTGGACGTTCGTTTTAAGTGTCCATTGTTTTATGTGAGTGTTTTTTGCCTGCACAATCAAGAATGCCATCTGTCGAAACAACAAAGAATCAATGTATGTCTCAACATAATTTTATGAGAAAAAAAAGCGCCAATTTGGTTGTAACGTATCAATGTTAATTGCTTGATTCATCAAAAAAAATTGCGCCAAGTTGGCTTGGTTGTCAAAATGGATTTATAAGCGAAAGCACTAAATATTTTTCATGTCAATTTTAATGTGATTGATAGTTCTGTGGTTTGTTGTCTGTATATTTGCTGTTTCACTTCTTTGTGGCTAAAAGATTTTAAAAAAATTCCCCTGTTTGTACAGATCCTTTTGTAAATGTTTTGTTTTTTATTTTTATTTCTGTTGATGTTTTTTATTAATCAAAGCTGAAATCAAACTCTGAATTTTGTCTTTCAGATTTTTTTTTTCTTCAAAATAATCCATGATCGATTCATCAATGATTATTTTTTTAGAAAAATATTGTAGATAAGAATCCTTATTTTGTATATCTCCAATCGTTGTACATTTTAGCTAACAGCTTTAATATAAATTGATCTCAATTAATCCCAAATACTTTGTTAACTTATTAACTCCAGGGAACGAAGATTATTTTAATATCAGTTGTCACTTATAATGTAGTCGATGCATTTAAAATTAAATTGATCACTTAATTTTTTTACTAAAAATAAAATAACTAAGGACATTTTTGTCAGTTTACAAATAACCTCAACTTCAACT